GAGAGAGAGAGAGAGGATGTTCCCCAGCACAAGCCTGAAAGAATAAACGTTTGGTCCTGGTGACTCAAATTTGGATCTTGCAATATTATCCTGGGACACATATATTTGCCTTTATTCCTCAGTAGATTGTCCTGCTGGGAGCTCAAAACTATATCTCGGTACAATCAGACTCCTGGTTTTAGAGCACTGATTTTGAACCTACCAGAGAAAGTCCCCTTGGCCAGACATTCTTTCACCCGATTGGTTCTCCTGACATGGAAGGCTTTGGTGATCTCCTGGTTCATGAATGCCTCGTTATTGAGGATGTTAGCCACCATCATCCTGAGGTCGAAGACTTCAAGCAGTTCAGCAATGTGAGCAATATGCATGAGATCTCTCTCGTTCTCATCCAGCTCCCCGGTGTAAAGGTATTTCAGCACGGCCCTGAACGGTCCCAGCTGGATGGAAGGATCCATCTTCACTACCACCATTAGCCGGGGCTTGTAGGTCATGGGGTCATCTGCCATCTCCTCCTGGATGCTGACAAAGGCACGGCTCCAAGTGGAGAGGATCCTCCCCCTCTTTAGCCCTCGTTCCCCATAGTTCTTGCCCCGCAAAATCCCATCACTGGTGGAGGCTCTAAGGCACGGTTTTTGCTGACCGGAACCAGCTTCTTCTGTACTCTCACAGATGTCAAAGCTAGCAGCCCTCAGGAGGAATTCCCGCCCATGATGGTGCCGTTCCTGAGGAGCCGCTCGCTCCGCAGCACCCATCCTGATGCTGCTTCCCGCCATCTCCTCTTGGTCCTCCTCGTTCAGATCCATCAGGAACAAGTCGTAGAACTTAGAGGAGGCGGTAGAGAGGTAGATCTTGTGCGCGTAGATTTTGATTCTCTCTTGCAGCACCAAGATAACGTCTGCACACAAAGGGTCCTCCAGCAAGTGGGCTGGACGCTCTTCGTTGTTGGAAGGAGGGTTGGGCACAACGATGATGGGGGGTGGAGGCTTGGGAGGCAAAAAAGGGGCCTGCAGCAAAGGTCTTTGAACGTTACGGAGGTGGGACTTCCAGAACTGGAGATGCCGGCGGGAGATGAGGGCAGCTCGGATGGCATTGTCGAAGACATCCTTGATGCCAAATTGGGCTACTACACTGGTCTCGTAGTAAGGGATGCCCAGCTCTTTGGCCACCTCTCGTCCTTTCTCTGGAGGCAGAATTTCATTTTGTTTGATTGGCCTGGAAGAAAAAGAAAATAGCAACAGATCTGATGTTAGCTGAGCACCCAAAACTCAAAATTACAGGAGGGGGAAAAGGGTGGTTATCTAATTGGAAAAACAATCATTCATCCCAAAAAAATATACCACTATTGGGGCGATCAGGCTAAGAATACAGTTCAGACTATTATTAGGTAGTCAGTAACACTAAGAATGAGATTTTCTACAGAAAGTCTAAAGCAGGGGTCCTCAACCTTGGCAACTTTAAGACTTGTGGACTTCAACTCCCAGAATTCCTCAGCCAGTTGAAGTCCACAAGTCTTAAAGTTGCCAAGTTGCCAAGGTTGAGGACCCCTGGTCTAAAGAATTGCATTCTACCTTGAAAACCTTGACCCTTCAGCTTTTCCCCACTTTCTCCTCCAACCCCAGCATTGTGGTCATGTGACCGTGGGACGTTGCCAAGGGCCATAAAGGTGAGCCTGTCACCAAGCGTCCAAAACGTGATCACATGACCATGGGGAAGGAGCACAACTGTCGTAACTTCAGAAATAGACCATAAGTAAGTAGCTTTGTCATAATTTCAACCCTGTGGACTTCCTGTTCAGTTTCTCCCACCAAGGAAACTAAACGAAATTATCTTACCTGGCTAAAGGTCGCCTGGCTCTATTCACTGCTTCTAGGTCAGCATAGCGAAGGTCAAGCTGGCAGCCCACCAAGATGACCGGTGCTCTGGGACAGAAATGCTTAATCTCGGGGTACCACATGGTCTTCACATGGTGGAGGGAGTTGGGATTAGCAATGGAAAAACATAACACTACGACATCAGATCTGTGGGAAGAAAGGAAGCAAGAATCAGTGATCAAGAACATAGGTGTGTAAGAATTGGCCTTGAATGATTTTTGATTTCACTTATTTTTTGTCTCTCAACTTCTCGTAATTCTCCTGGCAAAATCCATTTTATCAAAACTTATTTTGTAATCTTAAAGGGTAGTTTGTCTTTTCCATGTCCAGAGTTCTCTGTAAAATTTTTCCCCATCTGGATTAAGTCATATTTCCTAGTATTATTAAATTCCATCTTGAAACCTCTCTCCTCTGTCTCGTAATCAGTTGTCTGTTTTCTCTGCTCACTCTTTATTTTTATTTTCTGAGAATTTTTATGTTGTAAAGTTAAATTGGAGATGTGCTCATTTATGTTTTCAAGGTTATGTTTAATTTCCTCGTGGTTTGAGATTATTGTTGTTTGGATTAGCTGCAACATAGCGTAGATCTCCTTCTGGAAAGTACTTGTTTTTTTCTTGGTATATTCTTTCTGTAGACCTCTGGTTTTTCATGGTTATTATTTGCAGAAACATGAGAAAAATGTTTATATTTAATTGTCCTCTATTTAAATAAGAACTGTATTAATTTAAGGTTGGCCACAGAGAATATTATTGGAAGAAAAATAAATCAAGTCAAGTTATTATATGGACTATAGAATTATAGAAATTAATTGTTATTGTTTTTTAAAAGCTAACCCAGACAACACAATGTTTACCAAATATTAAGGTGCATGTTAAAAATAAGTAAAAACATATTTTTTTAAAAAAGAATTTGCCTTGAATGGTGGCCTATGAACCCCCTCCTCACAATATATGTAGTAAGGGTGCACATTTGACTAGCATCCTGGAAGCAACCCAGATTGCTTCTCATAGATGGTCTTCTTATTTTCTCTGCCTTAACAATAATATTAGAATTAGTATAATAACCAGCAAAATACCCTTTGAAATCTCAAGAGATGCGTTTAGAGAGAGGATCAGTGGGCAGAGCAAGACCATTTTCTCCATCTGTATCTTCCAGACAGGTGGACCTCATTTTCCAGAATTCCTTGATATTGACCATCGCTATTTCTTGCAACGCTTGAATTTCACAGTGAATTTCTCTGCGGCATGAAGAAGTCTGTCTTAAGAGTCCCACAGAAGTTCTACACCTGTTTTCAGGGCCTACCTTCCATAAGCGAAACGCCTGTCTTTGTGATGGTCCCCAAAGGTATCCCAAAGCCGTAAGGAAACGCTAACATCATCTACAACATCCCGGGAGCGTTCCAGTACCTGGGAAAAAGAAAAGAAAAGATTATCTTCAGACCAAAGGGACGATTAGTGAGGCAGCAGTGCTGAAGGTCCTAGATTAGGAATGTGGAGACCCAAATTCTAATCCCCTTTCAGTCAGAGAAACTCTTATTCAATCCCAGAGCTAAACTGGTGCAGTGACGAAGCTGATGCCGGAGAATAGGAAGAGTAAGGTTCAAGTCTTTTTGGATGACTTTGAGGATGACGGATTGGACAGACCCAGGTTCTAGTTCCCCTTGCCCATACAAGCTCTTTGGGGCTCTTTAGGTCTCTGTTTTAGCCCAACTTTGCAGGATTGTGGTTGTGGGGGTTGTGGGGGGAAAAGAACAGGGACCCCTGTGTATGCCACCTTGAGCATCTTTACAAAAGATGGGAGGTATATGTAACATAAATAATTTCCTCTCAGTTTTTCAGCCTACGAATCAGCAATATGGCTTTCGGGAAAATAAATTAAGAAACATCTCCATTTTTTTTTCCTCCTGGAAATTTTGATCCGAGACCAAATCTAATTGGATGCTTGAGATCCAGAAATGTTTGATTAAGGAAAAATAAATGCAAGCATTTTCAACAAAACCAAATCAGAACAACTCTGGAAAAATCATGAAAGCACATCAGTATTTATTACTAGAAGATGATGCATCGTTGTAGTTTTAGACCATGAACAGAGACCTTCTTTAAAGCTTGAGATGATGGGGAATAAAGGAGACCTTTTATAAAAGTTTTTTTTTGTTTTGATGAGGAGCATCCAAAAACTGAAGTATGGAGAATAAAGACACCCTAGTAGTAGAGAGTGGTCCAGATTTGGTGAATAGTGTAGAAAAGGTTCTCTTTTTTTCCCAAGTGTGCAGTTTATTTTCCAAAACTCTATGTACCACTCTTTTATTGTTTTACACACACACACACACACATTGCCTTCATTTTTTTTTAAAGAGTTTGTCGTGAGAATGAAGTTTAATGTAGAGTTTCAGGGAGTTGTATAAGCCAAAGGCAACTTAAAGTGCAGGTGACCTGCAGCACTTTTAAGAGTCCCAAAGGAAGGGGGGTTTTTTTTACCCTATCACTTCTCCCCTTAATATACCCATCAATGAAAATGCCGCTCTTAATATACCCATCAATGAAAATGCAACTCACCTCCTGGCAAACACGGTACTGATCAATAGCCCAGACGGTGGGCACATGGGTAGCGAGGAGCTGATACTGAGTCAGTGTGGCATTACATGCACGGGCACAAATAAGCCGAGTCTTGCCCACTGCGTTGTCCCCAACCACAACACACTTGATGGTTTCTACGTTTGGCCTTTCATAATCCATGTCAGAATCCATTAATTGGGACCTGTATCAAGAGAGATGGAAAAGACCAGAGAAAAGGTGCATCAGACAGGTGTTTTTTCCCCGCCCGTTGGTGCTCCAGAACATCTTCCACGAGCAGGCCACACCACAATGGAAGCAATCAATAACAGTAATCCTACTCCAATGGGATCTGCTGCCCAGGCTAGGCGGTGACTCTCAGATTTGGCCTTTGCAAATGACCACACACGTACACACAGGCATGCCAATAGGCCATCAACAGGCCACCCAAGTTGCAGAAGACTTGACTGGTTGTTCTCCTCCAGACTGAACGAATCTTCACCAGGTCTCAGAAAAGAACACAGAAGAGACCCGGAAACTTGGCCAATGCCTCGCCCCTACCCAGCATGCATTCCAGCCATTGTCCCTTTAAAAATTAATAAGCGTTTCAGAGCATGCCTCAGTACAGCTTCTGACAAGATACATATCCTGGCAATTTGGTTCCAATCTCCTTCCCTTCTTGTTGTTTTCTACACTGGTCCTGTAAGACTCTCGTCCCAATCTCACCTCCACCAAACCTGTCCTCCATCCAATACTGGTCAAGAAACCTACCTGAGCAGTCACAGCCTGACCCATTCCTCTGCCCACAGCTCCTCCATCCACCCCACCCTTTCTTCCCCTCTTTCTCATGTACGCACATCCAAATGCACCGTATCGGCAGCCTCTGGGACTTAATAATTAAAGAAGAGGCCATAATGCAGGCTTCGGGCTGCTTATTTAGCAAAAGGAACCACAGATACTTTGGGATAATGGAATTTACAGCCTTTGCTGCTGACTCAGAATAAATCAAAGGCCTGGCTCCCTATTTGGACCAAAACCAAAAAAAGAACTTCTTATAATAAGAGTGTCACCACAGGCCTCTGAATGGGAAAACTCATGCACGGTTAGAAAGAGGCTGCTGGAAGCAAGGGTGGATTCAATGTGGTTGAACATTTGCCCTCAAGCGAAATTGACAGAAGTTTCCCTCTTCTTATCTTCTATACTGGGATTTGGATCAAGTCATACGAGCAACTCAGCTGCCTGTGATCTAATCTAAGCGTAGGAGTTTGGGAAGGAAGTTAACGTAACTCAAAAGTCTTGAGGCAAAGATTGCTTCCAAGTTTCCCATTTCTCCCTACTTCTCTGTTCCGTGTGAGCTTTACATCGTTCAAGGTGACGAATAGAATAGAGTACAGAATAATGAAGTTGGAAGGGATGTTGGAGGTCTTCTAGTAGTCCAATGCCCTGCTCAACCAGGAGACCCTATTTCTGGACAAATGACTGCCCAATCTCTTCTTAAAAACCTTGAGTAATGGAGCATCTACAACTCCTGAAGATGAACTGTTCCACTGATTAATTGTCCTCCTTTGATAAACTTGCATCTGTTCCTTCTTGTTCTGCCCTTAGGTACTTTGGAGAATAAGTCAACTCCCACTACTCTATGACAGCCCCTCAAATATTGGAAGACTACTATCATGTCACCCCAGCCCTTCTCTTCATTAGACTAGACCAGGGGTCTTCAAACTTGGCCTTTTTATGACTTGTGGACTTCAACTCCCAGAATTCCTCAGCCAGCATGCCTGGCTGAGGAATTCTGGGAGTTGAAGTCCACAAGTCATAAAAAGGCCAAGTTTGAAGATGTACCTAGTTCCCACAACCACTGATTTTATTCTTTAGCCTCCAGACTCCTTATCATCTTTGTTGCTCTTCTATAATCTTCTATAATCCTTATCACAACCATTTCAGCAAGTATTAAAGATCTTACGGCTTGCTTCATTTTACATTTAGCAAAGGGCTTGTTGGTTGAACTCAATAGGCTTATGAACTCAACAGATTTACAATTCAAAATTTGGGGGGGGTTTAATCATAAATGAAAAAAAGGTCAATTCAATAACCCAGTTAAGCATGTTACACAAATCCACTCAGGTCACACTCCTTACCAGCACGGAAATTAAACTATGCTCAGTCAGCGCTATTCATGGAAGTTGTATAATATAGAATATTCATGTGAACAAAGCAATATAGGCTGAGTCCTGAGAAACTTTTATAATAAAAGGACAAATTTGGTAAAAGACTCTCAAATAAATATGCAATGACGGAAATGATAAAAAAGCCCACTATGATGGTGGTATAAAATAATTTCCTTATCGTTAGAAAATGTATCCAGTGAATTAAAGAAAAACAAAACAAAATAATTACGCAGGGGAAAAAAATCTTCAGTTCCTCAGCGCACGGGGTTTTAAAAAGCTGAGTGTGATTCATTCATCCCAAAATAGATCTAAAGTGTCAGGTATCTACTGATTTTACAAAAATGGGTCTTACGATAAAAATAAGACCGCACAATTTGAGGCAAAATAAAGTGTATTATTAGCCTTCTTCTTTATTGTTCCCAAAACATGACATGGACAGCCAAAAGAGACTTTGATAAGAATAACAGTTTCTTGAAAAAAAAAATTAAGAGACTTTGAGACTACAATTCTATTTATGTTTTCTTAAGAATAGCAATAGCACTTAGACTTATATACCGCTTCACAGTGCTTTACAGCCCTCTCTAAGCGGTTTACAGTCAGCATATTGCCCCCAATCATATATAGCATACATCTCATCTTAACAGGTAACATTGCCCCAAAGCAATTTAAACGTATTTCTATAGGATTTCACATTGGTTTACACAACCCAAAGTCTCCAGGAAGGAGTGGGAGGATGAGGGAGTAAGTGTAATTCTAATACTCAATATAAAGTACAGCATAATCTATAGAAGTAGAACTATTAAAAACCAAGTTTAAATTCCTACTGAGCCAGATTGCCAGGTAATTTTAGGCTACAATACATGATTCATCTAGTACATACTACTTAAAATACAGTTTATGTGACCACAATGTACTGAATAAACCACAAGTCTATAAAGCAAAATATATAACCCCCACCATGGATGGGTTCACACAATATCCTAAGCCAGAACTGAAAAAGCCAGGTTGTGTGAACTCAGACAATTCAACCTACTCTAACTCTCAGATTTATTCCGAGGATAAAATAGGGGAAAGTAGAACAGCATGCCTATAATCCTGAGTAAATATACAGTATACAACAGAGGGACCATTAAGAACCATTTGCTGCATTGAGCATTCATTCAGGGGCGATAAACAAGTAATCACTTTGATGTAATGGTTAAAGCATCAGGCTAGGAACCTGGCGTGGTGAGTTATAGTCCCAGTTTAGGTACAAACCCAGCTGGATAACCTTGGGCCAGTCACGCTATCTCAGCCCTGAGAAAGAAGCAATGGTAAAGCCCTTACTAAAACTTTGCCAGGAAAACTGCAGGGACTTGTCTAGGTTCAAAGGCACAAAAGAGGAGAGATGGAACCCACAAATAGTTCATATCTAGGGGACGAACAAAACATGAAATCTTTGTACAGCAGGTTATCATGATTTCGTAGTGGCATGGTGGATGCCTGTATTGGTCCGAATCCCTTGGTAGACCTTGATTCCAAAGTTTCCTTTTTAGCACTGAGGCTAAAGGAAAGCTCCTTTTGGCCAAATTAACAGAATCAAGTTTGTTCTTCCTCTATGAAAATTATTACACGGTGTGGCAAGAGTTAAGAAGAACTTGTTCCAAAGGTGCAAAATGCAGAGACATAGGGAATGGAAACAAGAAAGGCAGGGGTCAAGCTATTTTCCAAAGCACCTGAAAGCAGGACAAGAAGCAACGGATGGAAAGTAATCAAGAAGAGAAGCAACCTAGAACTAAGGAGAAATTTCCTAACAGTCAGAACAATTAACCAGTGGAACGGTTAATTGCCTTCAGAAGTTGTGAAGTGCTCCACTCTCTGGAGGCTTTTAAGTAGAAACTGGACAGCCATTTGACCGAAATGGTATAGGGCAGTGGTGGCGAACCTATGGCACGGGTGCCAGAGGCGGCACTCGGAGCCCTCTCTGTGGGCACACGTGCCGTTGCCCCAGCCTTGCCTCCCCCCACGACCCCCTCCTCACCAGCAGACCCCCTGGAGGAGAGTCACCCCCGAGCGTGGCCCACACGGAGCAGCGCAGCCAAGGACATGGCAGCCAGGCAGCGTAGACAATGATTCTGCCCTCACACCCCATCATGCAGTTGATGCTGCAGGGCGCGGGCAGAGGGTGTGGCCGCCATAGCGCTGCTGGGCTGCCTGGGCGATCTGCGGCGGGCCCTGGAGGTGGTGAGTGGCCCTGTGGGCGGGCAGGGTGGGGCGGGACCAGTTTTTGGGCACTCGGTCTCTAAAAGGTTCGCCATCACTGGTATAGGGTCTCCTGCTTGGACAGGGGATTGGACTAGAAGATCTCCAAGACCCCTTCTTCCAACTCTGTTATTCTATCCTATTTATGTTGTTGGAAAGAAAACATAGGGAAGAAGATTGCCAGGTGGAATTCTGGCAGCAGCATCAATAGGGCTGGCTCAGAAGACTGTCTCAGTCAGTGCCGTGTGCTATTTAACAAGGGACAATCGGCTCTATGGACAGACAAAAGCTACCAGCTCTGGACCATCACCTCATCCCGTATTCTTTCTTCCCATATACATATACAAAATCTCTTGGGATTACAGAGAGGACTGATAATCAGGGCCATCCTTCTTCTCTTCCCTTTCAACCCGTTTGAGTGTCTATTTTAGTCGCTCTTTTGTCCCAATCCATGGTCTGCTTTGTTCTCCAGGATCTGTTCGTCCAGGTCTGTAATCGTGGCACCCAGATGCTCCAGTCCCCCCCACTGGGCTTGCCTTAACCTTAACCCTTCTCCCTTTCAGACTGAGTTTTGTGGCTTGCTGCTCTTGTTTGCTCCTTCTCTGTAATTCCAGCATCTGTCCCTGCTCGTCACTCCCTGCTCCCTCGGTGACGTCCTCAGCGCTCTGCTTACTAGAATTCCAGCCCTCCAATCTGCCTTGGCTATCTCTCTACCTCTTAAAGAGAAAAGTCCCGTGTTCCCACGAGCTGCCTCTGTCTTCTGTTGCCAAGGAGACCAGAGAATCACCAGGG